AGTTGCACAATAGAGAGCGCTGATTGGTTTGAACCAAGCATTACTCATGCATTAATGCATCACACTGTAAGACGTAATAAGACACACTCAGGCACAGACGCCCAGTCTGCACGCTGGAATACAACGCTATTATGTCATGGCCGTGACGCAGCTTCAAAAATTAGTTTCAATCCGGAAGTACGAATTTGCTTGAAATAACGCAAAAACAACCAATTTACACTTTTTAGTGAAATATAGGTGTCCTAATAGTGTTTTTAGCAGTGTGGGACACATATACGACAAAAATGTGTTTTGGTGTTTCGTGACCCTTTAAGCTCTGTTTTCTTTAAAATCAATGATCTTCACTGCCTGACTGATATACGACATAAAGTTGGTCTCAGAATATGCAAGAAGCATTACATTAAATTACATTTTCCCACACCATGTCTTTAAAGTATTCTTTTTTTTTTTTTTACTCCAGTATTTTCAATGGCGTTTTTGTGCTAGCCTGCTGATCCTGATGGGCGCATGCATGTAAACAGCTTTTTGTATCAGTTTACGCTTCAACAACTAAATGAATGCCGAAGTCTATTTAACTGACTGTACTTTAATTAAATTACAACATCGATGCTGTAAAAGTGCACAATTGAAAAAGTTTCATTATCCGTTTACTGGAAATATATGGGTATTGGAAGAAACATTAGCTATACCCTATTTAATTGCGGGTAGGATTTCCATCCAATAAATTTGTTTAGCACCAATTAAAAAAACTATTTACAGAATTAATTGCAATTGAGTTGACCCAACATGACTTCATCAAATAAAAGTTTAAATACATTTTTATTTTTATTTAACTTTAACTCAAAGGTCTGATAATATCATGTATGTCTATTATGTGTAGGGATGTCCCAATCATGTGCTTTTGCCCTTGAGTCCGAAACATTAGATTTCGAGTATCTACCAATACCGGAACCCAATCCGATACCTCTATGATACATTAAAACAATTCAAAAAGAGAGAGGAAACAGTTCCAGGATGTTCCTTATTTTGTATTTAATTCATCTTATTTTAACAATCAACAACAAACAAAGCACTTCTGTGAGCTAGCTTGAACAATCAAGTAATAAATAACACTGTAAAACCCAACAGTCAACTTTACAAATAAAATGAGTGAAGCTAACTCAAAACGGACTGAAAGTTAATTCTACTCATTTGAAAAGAGTTTTGAACTCAGTGTTGGAGGAAATGGGTTAATTAAATACCTCATTACTTCAGCATAAATGGAGTAAGTTCACAGTACTCCTATAGATTAGCTTTTTTTCTCAAACAATTTAAGTTGCCTTAACGTATTAAGTTTTACAGTACTCAGTTGGTTTGAGTTCTCTTCATTTATTGGGTTTTACTGTGCTCAAATTGCTTCATTTACTCAAATAGATTAAGTTCACAGTACTCATTAGCATTAGTTTTTGAACTTAAATAGTTTGTTGCAATCGGTTTCCTCAAATGGTTTGACTGATTTTACAGTGTAGTCAATAATATCACAAAATTAGTATTAGTTGAAATTAATTAAAAAACTGAATAATATAGATGTACACACATTTACACAAGTAAATAAATAGACTCAATGATGGGCCAAAAATATGCGGAAATCTGCTGATTTCTGCTCGTGCAGATTCCATGTGGACCTAGTTATGACATAAAAATACATTAACAGGTCATGAGTTCATGTTAGGCAAGTCACAGCAAGGCACATCACAGCAAGAAGGTTGCTAATTGGAACCCTGACTGGGTCTGTTGGCATTTCTGTGTGGAGTTTGCATGTTCTCCTCATGTTTGCTTGGGTTTCCTCCAGGTGCTCTGGTTTACCTCACAGTCCAAAGACATGCATTATAGGTGAATTGGGTAAGCTAATTGTCCGTAGTGTATGTGTGTGAATGACTGTGTATGGGTATGTCCTAGTGATGGGTTGCAGCTGGAAGGGCATGCCCTGCGTAAAACATGCTGGATAAGTTGGCGGTTCTTTCCGCTTTGGCAACCCCTGATTTATGAAGGGACTAAGCTGAAAAGAAGATGAATGAATTAATAGATTCATGATAGTTACATTCAGCTAAAACTGAAGTGTCAACTAATAAACATGTACTAACAAGTCAGCTAGCCATTATTTGCACATGAACTTTCTGACTTATGTTAAAGTTAACTCTTGTGTAACTCTGTTCCAACAGGGAAAACCAGCGACAATTGAGAATGCATGATTATATGGTGTCAAGGCTTTGCAGTCAAAAAATGTGGTTATAATGGAAGTCAATGGGGCCAAAACAGCCTTGAACACAACAAAAGGGTAGTAAGTTTGCCCAGGATCTGTAGAGTTTTTGAAATATTTCAAAGCATTTTCTCAAAATATGTGTCAAAATAAGTTTTGTTTTTGTCAAAAATCTTTCCATTTGCTGAAACAGAGAGGAAACTGTGGCAAAATATGACTCAAAATCACCACAGAGTGGATGAAAACATCTCTAACAGCACACAAGGGTTACAGTTAGTTCATGTCTAGCGCATACCCTTTACCAATCTTTAATTTACATATTAGTACATTATCATTCATGTACTGTTATTGAAAAGTGTTACCAGTTCTATTGTAATATGTGGTTTCCCAAGCATTGTAGAATCGGGCGTCATGCTTTGTCCTGCAGGCAGTGTGTGGACTCAGGTGTGCATGTATTGGCTCGTCCCATCAGATTTTTTTCCAGCAGCATCTGTTTTCGAGCTGTGAATTTGTTATATTTACAAATGCTAAACAGGCATGTTTGGTCGAAACACTTGACAGAAAGGAAAGTAGCAGAACCGCAGCTCTGGGATGAGTGCGCAGGTGCCCGCGATGCAGTTCATGTAGTGTTGAAGCCAATGCGCTCAGGGCTGCGAGACACTTGAGGGCTCGCAGCCAAACAGATGGTTATGAGTTTAGTTAAGCTCTGATAATTCACTTACACTCTTCATTGGACACACATGCACAAACACACTCTTTGTGAGGGATGTTAGGTAACCTCGATAGTGTTGTTGTTTTCAATATGAGATGATTTTATGTACTATGTTTAAAGTTTTTCTGTAACTGTAGTGAAATGTTTGTAGTCAATACATTGTTGTTCTTGTTGTTATTCTGGTTGTTTTACCAAGAAATTATTTCAAATAATATATTTGTCTATACTAAAAACTATATTAAAAAATAGATTTGGATTTTTTTCTCTCTCAAGGGTTAATATACTTTAATTATTTTATAAATAAATGTATTTATTTTATTTCTTTATTTATCCTTTATTTCTATGTGTTTTTGAATATCTAAAACATTAATAATTATTACTTAGTTAATAATAAACACTAATAATCAACATTGCGAACACTAGGTTTTTTGCTCTTGATGTTGTTTGCTTTTTTTTCCATTTAAGTATTGTTTATAGTTTGACTTCATATTTGTATTGGTATAGGCCAATAAACTTCCGGCAAAGGGACTACCGTTGAGAACTAGTCTAATTTGGGCTATTTGGATACATTTTTTTTTTTTGGTATATGTTGGTAAATGTATTCTCCCTCTTGTTGTGAAATAAATAAATAAATAAATATAGATTTAAATTAGCTGTAATTTTTATTTAATTTAATTTAATTTAATTTAATTTAATTTAATTTTATTTTATTTTATTTTATTTTATTTTATTTTATTTTATTTTATTTTATTTTATTTTATTTTTAAATATGTGTTTTTTGGTCTCTAAAACCTTAGCTGTAAAATTTTGTATTAGAACATTTTATTTTAATTTATTTTTATATGTGTGATTTTTGGATGTCTAAAACATCATTCATTCGTATATTTTCCTTTGGCTCAATCCCTTATTTATCAGGGCTCTCCACAGCAGAATGAACCCCCAACTATTTCAGCATATATTTTATACACTGCAAAAAAAATGCTTTTCTTACATAGATTTTTTTGTTTTGTTTCTAGTCCAAATATCTAAAAATTCTTATATCAAGAAGCATTTTCTAGGCAAGCAAAACAAATTGTCTTGTTTTCAGAAACAGGATTTGCTTGTTTTTTTCTCAAAACAAGCTAAATAATCTGCCAATGGGGTAACCAAAATAATCCTTTTGACATAAGATTATTTTGCTTACCCCATCGGCAGATTACTTAGCTTGTTTTAAGGAAAAACTCACTTAATTTTAGCATATTATTTCTTAAAACAAGACCATATGTTTTGCTTGTCAAGAAAATTATTCCTGATTTAAGAATTTTTAGATATTTAAACTCGAAACAAGACAAAAAATTTAAGTAAGTTTTTTTTTTTTTTTTTTTTTTTTTTTTTTGCAGTGTACCCTTCCAGCCACAACCCAGTACTGGGAGACACCTATACACTCTTGCATTCACACACACACACTCATACACTACGTCCAATTTTGTTTACCTTGTTCACCTATGGCGCAAGTCTTTGGATTGTGGGGGGAAACCGTAACACCCTGAGGAAACCCATACGAACACGGATGGAACATGCACACTTCAAACAGAAATGCTAACTGGCCCAGCCGGGACTCAAACCAGCGACTTTCTTGCTGTGCTAACCACTGTGCCACCTATCTAAACCATTGAAGTTAAAATTAGAATCAGAATCATAAAAAAGTATTCACAACATTTGTTTCCAACAGCATTGATGTATATTGAGTACATATATAAATTGAGAGAGTTATCATGCTTTTCACTTGAAACCCAGAAAAAAAAAGCTCAATATTTATTTTCCACCATGCCTTGTGTTTATTTTAGTACCTTGGCTCTCCGGGTTTCAGATTTTCACATAAGATTGCTGCTATCTGAAACTGCGTAGAGGAACAGCAATCTTCTTTGGGGGTCCCTGCAGTCCATCAACCCGCCATGAAGAATAACTGCACTTCCAGCCTTTGTCAGCTTCTCTATTTCAGCACATGGACTCCTGCACCACAGGGGCCATCAAGTACTCATATATTTGTATCCTCATTCTAACCCGCAGGTGTAGCAGAGGTTATCGTGTTGGTCGGAGGACGGCAGGCCATCGGTATGAACCAGCGCTGTCTCACCGCAGTCACATGTTTTAATCCACAAAATGGGAAATGGTATCCACTGGCCAGCGTCCCTTTCTACGACCGCGAGTTCTTCAGCGTCATCTCCGCCGGGGACAATATTTATCTGTCAGGTACGTCAGGGAAGCTCGTATATCAAGTGTTAACACTGGGTGGGCACTTTACACGCTTTCCAGATGCGCTTTCACATATATATCTGTAATGTGTATTGCAGTGATCTGATGAAAAATCAGAATTGCGGAGCACATTAATCTGCGTCGTATTTGACTCTTCTGGCCTTGTGATATCAAAACATTATTGGTTTTTATGACAGAAAAATGCAACACATCTTTTATCAGCTGAAGGCCACATTTCTGTCTCTTAGATCTAATTCTGGATACATTTATAATCTATGTAATCTTATAAATAAGTTAAATAAGTCTTATAAGTAAATTTATATATTTATGTAATATATACAGTGGGTAAGGAAAGTATTCAGATTTTTCACTCTTTGTTATATTGCAGCCATTTAGTAGAAGCACCCTTTTTTATTTAATACAGCCAGTCTTTTTGAGAAAGATGCAACAATTTTTTTCACCTTGATTTTGGGGATTTTCTGCCATTCCTCTTTGTAGATCCTCTTCAATTCTGTTAGGTTGGATGGTACAGATGTGGCTACTGAGAATGCGCGAGTGAATGAACGTGATCACACGCAGTGCTGCAGTACTGCGCGGCACAGCACAAAATGACAAGACACGACCAGCAGGGGATCGTTATGTAACATAGTAGCATACTAAACTGATATCAGGGTTCATACGTTCATAAAAAACTTGGAAAAGTCATGGAATTTTGACATGGCATTTTCCAGGCTTGGAAAAGTTTTGAAAAAGTCATGGAAAACAGATATCTGTATACTTGAATATACTGTAATATAGTGTTTTCTCTAGGATTATTTCCTGCTGTGGCAGCAGGCCTTTTGCACAGATCTGCCAATCATGGAAAAGTCATGGAATTTTAGTAGTAAAAATGTATATGAACCCTGGATTTACTGTAGCAGTCAGAGCATGTGAGCGGAGCTGAGCAGTGTCGCTAACTGCCCAAAGCAAGCGCTCAGTTAACATTCCGCTCATGCTCACCGGTAAACCAAAACTGCTCAGATCCCACTCTGACATAAAGTTTCATGTCAGAGAATCTAACCCTAATTTTTTTGTAACAAGAAATCTTACATAGCGGTCTAAAATTAAAGGACGTTAATGAAGTTCTGCCATAAAATAAGTTTCTAAGCAGCATTCAGATTTTTTAATAATATTTTAATAGGCTTAAGTTATCATCTGTGTAATTTATAGCCCGTTTGTTTAGACAGCTGCATGTATTATCTTATACTATAGCTTAACTGACGGTTAATCTATTTTAAACTACGGAGCTTTGAACATAATTTGAATTAAAAATTGGCTTCCGCAAGTTTAAAGGTAAAGATTTTTCAACACATTTCTAAACATAATAGTTTTAATAACTCATTTCTAATAATTCATTTATTTTATCTTTGCCATGACGACAGTAAATAATATTTGACTAGAAATTTTTCAAGACACTTCTATACAGCTTACAGTGACATTAAAAGGCTTAACTAGGTTAATTAGGTTAACTACGCAGGTTAGGGTAATTAGGCAAGTTATTGTATAACGATTGTTTGTTCTGTAGTCTATCAAAAAAAAAATTAACTTAAAGGGGCTAATAATTTTGAATTAAATATATATATATATATTTGTTGTCATTTAAAATAGAGATTGTGATTGTGGCAGATTTCAAAGTTCACTTCGATTGTATTTATTCAGTCCTTTTAATCTATTAATTGACCCGTGGCGTCAGTTTGATTGACAGGTGATTCAACCAATCACAATCAATCGGAAAATGTATAATCATTATGTATAATTTATTATTGCTTGACATTGCAGCCTGGCATTTGAAGGTAAAATGAATTCAAACAAACATCTAGACATCTGAAAATGACACTGGTTAGTTAACCAGTGCTCAGATAATTAAAGTTATAATATCCAGTTATTCTGCTTGTACATCATCATATTTCAAATGCCACTGCTGGGCAAATTCAATAAATCATTTTCATTCTACAGGTATATTTAAACCATGTTTATGTGGTGCGGTGATCATTAGGCGGTTGCTTGTTGTGATCATTCTGTTCTTTATATGTTTATCTTGCACTGGTAGGATTTTCTGGCTTAAATGTTGAAAGAGAACACATCCAAATCCCCTCTGCAGGATATTCTGGTTTCTAGATTTAGGGCTCAATGTAAAGGTGCAGTCATGCTAGTCAAATTTAGCAGAAACATTTTAAAAAGTAGTCGGCAAACTTCTTGCACAGAAGCCACTTCCAAACATCTTTTTGTCAATTTTTACATGCCTGTAAAACAAAACAAACACTTTTTTCTATCACAGAAAGAGAGCTTATTAATCTGTTAATTGAGTCTTGGCATCAGGACTTCCAATCAATCAGATTGATTGACAGGACTTCCAACCAATCAGAAACAATCAGAAAGTGTATAATCGTTGTGTATATTTTATCTCTGCTTGACATTGCAGCCTGCGGTTATCAGTGTAAATTGCAAACAAACATCTCTACATCTGAAAATGACACTGGTGTTTTTAACCAGGGCTCAGCTGATCAGAGTTATAACATCCATTCTTTCTGCTGGTACCACATCATATTTCAAATGCTGCTGCTAGGCATATGCTAATATTTAATAATTCAATATTTCCCGATAATGCACAGATTGCTACGGTGTGCATTTCTAAAATACAGTAAATAATTGTTTAAACGTTTACAGTATCGTTTATGTATATTCCAATTTTTGTATTAGCAGTGGTTGTTCATCACTTGAAGACTTAATAGGCAATATATTTTCTATTTGAGAGATTTTCACGTTCACGTCTACAATAATATTAAACATTCTGTGACCATATAGTACTTTTATTCGTTAACTCTGTACAACGAGACTTCAATTCAAAGTCACTTTAATGACTACTTTAAAGACTTTTAATACAAAAGTGTTTATTAATCTTGCTGATGTTGAATGTTTAGGTAATGCCCAATTTCACGTTAAAATTAGATGTCATGATCATTTAATAAATTAAGTTAATAGCAAATTACAGGATGTCCGCAGGGTCCTAAAAAGTCTTAAATTGCCAAATCTAAATTTTAGGCCCTAAAAACTCTTAAATTTACTGAAACTTTGTCTTGTAGGTCTTAAATGCTTTTAAACAGGTCTTAATTTTTCTATGTCCATGAAAAGCTACTCAGCCTGGCGACACCACCCAAACACCAACAATCCATTTCAGTAAAACTTTTAACAAAATGTTTAATTTTAACTCTATTTACCAATATAGTTTTGCTTTTAGTTTACCAATAAAAGTTCTCAATATATTTAGGGTGAGGACACTGACCTGGACAGACAGTTGAGCATATATTTAACTTCATTCATTAATTTTCCTTTGGCTTAGTCTCTGATTTATCAGAGCTTGCCACTGCGAAATGAACCGCTAACTATACCTGCATATCTTTTACACAGTGAATGCTATTCCAGCTGCAACCAGTACTGGGAAATATATTTAGCTTATTATAGTTTTCAAATCTTTTTAATATTTTTTTTTATTGCATCTATACAAGGGGTTGCTTGTTTTAACACATTATTTAAAGCATGTGGCTAAGAAATAACTATATTTTAAATTGTTAAATAGTAAAAATCTTTTCTTTTTCCATTTGAAAAAAATCCTTAGCCTTTAGCCCTGTATACCTGTGAAATTTAATTAGTAATGATCTTAAAAAGGGCTTTAAAAGTCTTAAATTTGACTTGATGAAACCTGCAGAAACCCTAAAATTAACTAGTCATTCATTCATTCGTTTTTGTTTCGGCTTAGTCCCTTTATTAATCCGGGGTGGCCACAGCGGAATGAACCGGCAACTTATCCAGGACGTTTTTACACAGCGATGCTTTTCCAGCCGCAACCCATCTCTGGGAAACATTCACACACTCATTTGCACACACACACTCATACACTACGGACAATTTAGCCTACCCAATGCACCTGGACCGCATGTCTTTGGACTGTGGGGAAAACCAAAGCACCCAGAGGAAACCCACGCATACGCAGGGAGAACATGCAAATTCACAATGTCTATTCAATGATTTGAATGCATTAAGCAATATTTATCAATGATAATTTATTGTCTTTTTGAAATATTTTCTAAAGGATGTTTAACAGGGCAAGGGATTTTTCACAGTTTTTTTGTTTTTTAATAATAATTTTTCTTCTTATAATATCTTATTTGGTTTATTTCGGCTAGAATGAAAGTTAAAAAATTTTAACCACTTTTAAGTCAATATTATTAGCTCTCTTAAGCTATATTTTTTGTCTACAGAACAAACTATCATACAATAACTTGTCTAAATACCCTAACTTGCCTAGTTAGCCTAGGTAAACCTCTAAAAGTCACTTTAAGCTGAATACTAGCATCTTGCAAATATGCTACTAGCTACTAGCAAATGTCTAGTCAAAAATAATGTACTGTCATCATGGCAAACATAACAGAAACACAAAAGTATTGTTGGTTATTATACCTTAAATTAAATTAACCTTTTTTGTAGCTTAGGTAATATTGCAATAATACTGTAGATAGATCGGGATAAAAGCTTTAGCAAGAAAATGTGATGCTGGTAGAAGACTCAAGTCGTAAATCATCATTAAACATTTTTCTATGAGTATAAATGCATGCTTAGATGTTTTTTCCTAGAATTGACATTGTGCAATGTCACGTCCTGATGGCGTGCGGTCTTGTTTCCAGGTGGTACAGAGTCAGGGGTGACTGTGGCAGATGTGTGGTGCTACATGTCTCTTCTGGACAACTGGAACCTGGTGTCCCGGATGACTGTCTCTCGCTGCAGGCACAACAGCTTGGTGTACGACGGCAAACTCTACACTATCGGAGGACTCGGGGTGGCTGGAAACTTGGACCATGTGGAAAGGTAATTCATCCTGCAGTTAACTACCTGGAGGGGGAATTAATGCGCAGATGCATTGTGATGGCTTTTCAGATGATTTATATTGCATGTTCACAGTCAAATCTGGATGAACTGGCTTTTTAGGTATTGGCGGTTACTTGTGAGTCATTGATGTGCTGCTTTTGTTTTGTTGAATTTTATTTGCATCTTAGTTGCATTTTATTTTGTTTGCTTATTTATTTTATTTTATTTGTTTGTTCATTTATTTTTAGTTTTATTTAATTTTATTAGTTAGTTTATTTATATTTTATATTAATTTATTTGTTTTTTTATTTTATTATTATTTTTATTTGTTAATTTATTTATATTTTATATTCATTTATTTATATATTTTATTTTTTTATTAATATTGTATTTTATTTTATTTGTTTTTTATTTTATTTTGTTTGTTCATTTAGTTAGATTTTATTTATTTATGTGTTTGTTTTTTATTTTATTTTAGATGCATTGTGATGGATTTTCAGAAGATTTATATTGCAAGCTCACAGTCAAATCTGAATGAACTGGCTTTTTAGGTATTGAAGGTGTTACTTGTTAGTCATTGATGTGCTGCTATTGTTTTGTTGAAATTTAGAGTTTGATTTTATTCTTCTGTTTCCAGTGGTTTTATTTTATTATTAGCATTATTATTATTTATTTTATTTTATTTTATTTTATTTTATTTTATTTTATTTTATTTTATTTTATTTTATTTTATTGCATTGCATTGCATTGCATTGCATTGCATTGCATTGCATTGCATTGCATTGCATTTGATTTTTATTATGTTATTGTTATTTGTTAATTTATTCATTCATTCATTCATTTTCTTGTCGGCTTAGTCCCTTTATTAATCTGGGGGATGCCCTTCCAGCCTCAACCCATCTCTGGGAAACATCCACACACACATTCACACACACACACTCATACACTATGGACAATTTAGCCTACCCAATTCACCTGTACCGCATGTCTTTGGACTGTGGGGGAAACCGGAGCACCCGGAGGAAACCCATGCGAAGGCAGGGAGAACATGCAAACTCCACACAGAAATGCCAACTGAGCCGAGGTTCGAACCAGCGACCCAGCAACCTTCTTGCTGTGAGGCGACAGCACTACCTACTGCGCCACTGCCTCGCCATTTGTTAATTTATTTATATTTTATTTTATTTATTGTTTATTTTATTTGTTTGTTTAAATATTTTTTTATTGCATTGCATTTTATTTCATTTGTTAGTTAATTTATATTTTATTTTAAATATTTTTATTTATTTGTTAATTTTAAATTTTATTATTTTTTGTTTGTCTGTTTGTTTGTTTATTATTTTATTTGTTTTTTATTATTTGATGTTATTTTATTTTATTTTATCGTGATATCATATTTTTCACTCATTGACAGTCATTATGGCCAAAACAATTCATGGTAATATATTTAATATATATGCAATTTTACATATTTATATATTTAATAGCCTTGAAAAAAAATATGTTGTTAGATTTACCTATTATTATTATTTTTTTTTATTATTACTACTACTACTACTACAACTACAACTATAGTGAGTAAATTACTATTAATCCATATTACAACCAAACAAACAATTATATCTACAGTAAAGGAGACTAAATAATTAATAAATTAATGCTTTAAGTTAAATTCATCTTTCATTTATTCAATTTTTTTTATGCCAAATAATTACAGGAGACAAAATAAACCATTATTTTATCATTCTTATTAAAAGCAAAATAGCATTGAACTTTACTTATATTTCACTTTATACTGAAAATTGTAAATAATTTGTGCAAAAAAATGAATATATTAAATAAGGCCTGTATTATATTATGTGAGTTTTATATGCAGTGATAAAGGCATTTTAATTAGCATTGGATTATAAACCTACATGATCCTAATGAAAACACACAGGATTGTTTGAAGAACAGATGAACCTGCTTTTGCAACTGTGTGCTGATTCTATTGCTTTATTTTCAAAGCTGAATGTGTTTGCCCATATTAAGGATTTCCTGGATGTGTTTGGCTGGATGTGTTTTCTTGGATGTGTTTTTCTGAATAAGAGGTGATTCAAAATAATCTTTTGTAATGAATGAAATGTGATCAAACAACCCTTTTCATTGACCAGAGTTGTATTTTGCTTGCAAGCTTTCTTGGTTATCCTCATTACAAGTGCATTTAATGCATAAAAAAATCAATTGTGTGGTCAACATTCATAATTGCAACTTATGATCAATATCAATTTGCCTCCACAATGATTCTTTAATTAAGACTCTGGAAGTTTGGCCTGAAGAAAATCCAAAGTTTCCCTTTTATAATTACGCGCCTTAATACACCTTAATACGATTCTTCCGACAAGAATCGAGTGCAGCAAACCCGAAAAAAAAATCAATTGACCGTGTGAAGCACTGCATTATGGGAATGTATGTATACGGTATATTTAAGCATTTCTCTATTCATATCTGAATCTGTTTAACCTCTCGGAGCAGAAAATGCTGTGGTGCTTTAGTTTCAAGTGGCATATGAGGGCAATACTAAATGGCACAATCAAAAAAACATTATGGCTTGTATTAAAGAAGCCATTGAAGCTTATTACTGGACTGAAAGAGGCTCATGAGTGTCTAACAGCACCAAATCAAAACCTATAATTTGATATTTGGTTCATTGTATTATGACGCAGCATCTTTTTCCTAACACCCATAGACTTAATAACCAAGAACTTCAGAAATAATGAGCTTTTCCTGCTATATGTGAGCTGTATCTAACATTTTACATTTACCCACATGTTAACTGCTTTTTAACCTCACCATGTTAGGTTTGGGAAACTTCCCATTTTAAAGAACTCAAATAAATCACTTCAATTAAGGCTTATCAATAATAATTATCATTATACATAGTGAAAACTGAGTGAGAGGTGCAATTGGCTTTCTGATTTATTTTTATGTGTCATGAAATTAATGTTGCGCTTGGGACTTTAGTCATCTTTTGTGTTTACTGTGTTTTATTCCTCCAGATTATTTTCGCTTGTATTCCATATACACTACCTGACAAAAGTCTTCTCGCCTGTCCAAGTCTTAGGAACAACAAATAATAAGTTGACTTCTAGTTGATCATTTGGTATAAGAAGTGGCTAATATGAAAGGCAAAGGCCTCTAGATTACTCTTATTTTACCAAAATAAAATATGATCATGCCTTGTTTTTTAATGATTTAATTAGGACAGTAAGGTCTGACTTTGCTTAGACAAAAGTCTTGTCACCTAACAGTGACCTGTACAGTATAGAATATAAAGTCATGCTGCAGTTGAAAAAGAATTAATATTGTGTTTGACTCCATGAACTTGAAGGACTGCATCCATACATCTCAGCAATGACTCAAATAACTGATGAATAAAGTCATCTGGAATGGCAAAGAAAGCGTTCTTGCAGGACTCCCAGAGTTCATCAAGATTCTTTGTATTATCTTCAATGCATCTTACCCCAGACATGCTCAATAATGATCATGTCTGGTGACTGGGCTGGCCAATCCTGGAGCAACTTGACCTACTTTGCTTTCAGGAGCTTTGATGTAGAGGCTAAAGTATGAGAAGAAGCGCTATCCTGCTGAAGAATTTGCCCTCTCCTGTGGTTTGTAATGTAATGGGCAGCACAAATGTCTTGATACCTCAGGCTGTTGATGTTGCCGTCCACTCTGCAGATCTCTCTCATGCCCCCATAATGAATGTAAGCCCAAACCATGATTCACCAAACTTGACTGATTTCTGTGAGAATCTTTGGTCCATGCAGGTTCCAATAGGTCTTTTGCAGTATTTGTGATGATTGGGATGCAGTTCAACAAACGATTCATCAGCAAAATCTACCTTCTGCCACTTTTCCAATTGATCAACTAGAAGTCAAGTTATTATTTGATGCTCTTACAACTGGGGTCGACGACAAGACTTTTGTCAGAAAGTGTATGTTTCATATAGGGCTGAACATTATTGAAGAAAATAACATTTTAGTTTTCATTATAGTTTTCTGCAGTTGAAGGCAAAATTATTAGACGTGATGCATCATCCAAAATGATGTTAAATGAACAAGGTAAATCTTTGCCATGATGACCGTAAATAATATTTTACTAGATATTTTTCAAGACACTTCTAATATTAATTATTTGAATAATTATTATCAAATAATTTTAACCTTAAAATGGTTTTGAAAAATAAAAAACTGCTTTTATTTTAGCCTAAATAAAACAAATAAGACTTTCTCCAGAAGAAAAAATATTATCAGACATACTGTGAAAACTTCCTTGCTCTGTTAAACATCATTTGGGAAATATTTTGAAAAGAAAATCAAAGGAGGCTAATAATTTATATTTCATTAAGATTTTTATGTTACTTTACCTTTTTTATTAAATTTAGCAGGTTTCAACTATCAGGTTTCAAGTGTTTTTAAGTTATAAAAAGTTGAACTTTATTTTTAGTCTGTTTAATTGTAGATTAGAACTTTTAACTAGAGTTTTTTTTTACTGCATAGTTTACCTGATTAACCTAGTTAAACCTTTAAAATGCATTTTGAGCAAAATACTAGTATCTTGTAGTATAACTTGTTAAGTATTATGCACGGTCATTATGGCAAAATCATAAGAAACTATGAATATGTTTAAAAATGTTTGGGTAAAAGTTTGTTTAAAAAGTCTCTGTTTAACAGCGCTTGAGAAATATAAAAAAAAATCGTAAAATTTTCACATAAGGACTAATAATTTCTTTCTTCAACTGTATATTTCAAAATGAATACAATTTCAATGACCTGGGACTACTTCAGCAATCCAGTTCCTAAAAAATAATGGCACACCTTCATCCTCAATCTTCATCAGCCAATCAGAATCAAGCATTTAACACACCAGTAAAATAAACATCCATAATACTGCTTTAGAAAAACTTGTTATAAATATTTGTGGTTATTCAGTCTGGTGAAAGTTAATTTAATTATTGG